TATGAGTTGGAACCGACTCAATGGCAGAGGGTTTTTTGGTTATTTTAAGTAGAGACACTGGTATGCTCACTTGATGGGACAACCTGGGGCCATTAAATGAGTGGAAGTGGAGACACAGCAATGAAAAGATGGGTTGAATTTGCACAAGTTCCATTGGCACCCATTGACCTAGCCCACAAAGGCTAGGGATGAGAGAGAGAAGAGGCTGACTGGTCTGAAGTACAGAGATGTGTGTGGACTCCTGCGCATATGGCTGGTACCTAATGACCTAGTCCATAGCGGCTAGGGCTGAGTTGACCAGAACCCAACTGAATGGAGAGAAAGATGTTTGACACAGTGAGATGGTGCAGATACTACATTATGATGGCTTGCTCTGGACTGGACTTTGCTTACGGAAGCAGATGCTCAAAGTTCCAACCAGAACAGAAGATAGGGAGCATGCTTATTTTCTCAGAGTACTGATTTGATATGGATGGGCAATTTAGAAATAGGCTATGTAACATGGGGACAGAAAAAGGCATGAGGTGGCTGGCTTACATGCTTTCATGTACACTCAAAATGAGGAGAACAAAGGAAGATTTCCACTGAATACATTATTCCTCTTTTCCTGGTAAGTCTGGGGATGACAGGTAGGGGGGAGACACTGATAGGATTCTATGACTCAGTTGTGAGTGTTGATTGCTAACAGGGTTCTCATTGTGATTGTAAAAACTGCAACTGTAGAAACTGTAAGTGTGAAAGAGCAGACTGAGGGCGAGGCACTGCTGGACTGGAGCACAGTGGCTGACCCTAAAGGCCCTTAAAGGTTTTGCTATGCCTCATGAGGCTCAGGGCAAGGGAATAGTCTTCTCTCGGCTCAACTTTATCTGACGTCAAACAGGGTGAAGCTGAGATAACTTCTAGAGAACTCGACCAGACCCAATAGACACCTGAAGCAGAGATGAACGGCTGGTGCTCGAGTAACCTCACCCTCAGGACTCCCTGCCCTACTGAAGGAGTAATTGTGAATGAAAATTTTGGACTGGTAAAACGATTAAAAGGGGAAAGTTATGCCCTTTCTTGGTATGAAAGAACCATGACAGAAAAGCCAAGGGGCTGTGGTGTAACGGATCACTTATACATAGCCATTCTCACCAAGGTCTTGTAACTACCACCAAATGACTGGGTTGTTGTTGTTAGGTGCAGTTGAGTTAGTTTTGACTCATAGTGACCCAATGTACAACAGAACAAAACAGTGCCCAGTCTCACCCCATCCTCACAATCATTGCCATGCTGAAGCCCATCATCGTAGCCACTGTGTCAATCCATCTCATTGAGGATGGGTGGAACTATGTAAATAAGATGGCTGTGCCCACCAAGAGGATTAGGCAGCTTGCTAATAATGCAAATAAAGGGCGTGGAACCTTGTGCAGGTGAGACCATGCAAATATGGTGTATGGAACCCTAACAAGGGGATTGGTCAGTTTTGCCATCCTGCTAGGATTAAAATGAGCCAA